TAACTTTGTACTAACTTTTAAAGCAGATATTCATTGAAACTAAAATCATTCAAGGATCCTAAAAAAATTCAAATTTCTTTGATTTCTCAGACTACGTGCGCCGACTGGATGAGTTGCTGGCTCAGAAGATTGAAAAGTTCACGCAGTTACGAGGTAAAAACCTTATCTATCCGGCAGTGCTCCTAAGACATTAACTTTCGTTTGAGCGTCTCCGTAAGGGAATTCTGCTAAAGTTTTCAGCTTTTTAAAGGAGATAACTGATGAGTTTTAGTCAGGTTCAATTCGTTGAAATCTCCTCCATTCCCAGTCATACCTGATCTTTCTTTGTGGACTGTTGTCTCTTGTGGACTGTTGTCTCTTGTGTTTTTCTATTTTACCAAACTAATATTTTGTAGTCATTTATAATCCTTGTAAGTCCTTTCCATCTTCAGCATTCTTGTTTCTTCGTAGTTTATTATTGTCTCCTCTGTGTTTTTCTATCTCACCAAACTAATTTTTTTAGTCTTACTCAAGTTTAAATTATTTTTTGAAACCTCAAAGAGATAACTCGAAATTTCGCGTGGTAGCTCGCTTAATGTGCTATCTTTAAGCTATCTTTGTCGCTTGTTGGTTCATTGGCTCTTCTGTGTTTTTCTATCTTGGCAAGCTAATATTTTGTATTCTTACTCAAGTTTCAGTTATTTTTTAAATCTCAACGAGATAACTCTAAATTTCGTGTAGTAGCTCACTTAATGTGTATTCGATTAACTTGGCCGTCCTTTGTCTTATTTTCCTTCAGATAAAGTTAACAGGTTTAAAAAGCAACTCGAAGAGGAAGAAATGGCGAGCAGGAATATTAGAAAACTACCGGGTTATTAAGAGAATTCAAAATACCAGGGTACCCCTGGTGGGGTAAAGAACGACATGAGCCCCACAAAACACAGACGATGGCGAAGGAATACGTTATGATATGTTATGCCGATGTTGTCCCGTTCAAATTTTATCGAAGGGAATAGTATTTAAATGAGTTATTGTACAGGTCAAGAAGTGTAGAAAGGTCTACGCTGTAATAACTGTTTTTTGCTAGTGGACTTGTTTATTTATTTATTGCATGAAATCTTTGAGAGGAATTACTCCTTCACGAGTGCTAGGAGAACAGAAAGTCGACCAGAGCACATTTCGATTGAGTGTCAGTAAATCACAAGTGGAGTAATCGCAACGGCCAATCATAAACGAGGATAATGTTTCAAGGAGCCAATAAGAACTCGCTGCCTTAAGCGCTAGAAAACGCGAGTTGCCAAGTCGCTGCATATGACTGGTTATGGGGAAAATGCCTCCACCAATTAGGAAGCGAATAAAGCAAAGCCAATGCCATTCAGGATTATTATCAACGTCATTCAATTAAAATTGCTTTACGAAATAATGGTCCTTGATGTTCAATGTATCATATTGTTCTAAAAAACGTTTCTAGAAATGCCAGATTAGTGCTTTATTTCTTATTTCACAGAACGAGAACTGTTTCAAAATGTGAACATACCGAGTCATTTTACTCGCGTTTCAAAAATGAAGACCTTGCACTCACCTTATTGTTCTGCGTGAGACGTAAGAATAAATAAAACTCTTAATGGCAGACATTTGTCTTAATCTTTGCATTAGCACTATAAAAGTTTTGGAGCATGGAACACTTCCAAATCACTGCATTTCTCAAAGGCAACAATCGATACTTCTAAACTCGAGCCCAAAGAAACTTTCCACGTTAACAGATAACCACCGTTTCTTTCGTGATTTGACTTTTTCTGAATGGCTTTTCATTTACGTAGAGTGAGTTCCTACCAGAGGTGTCTTAAGTTGTGCCGTAGACTTTTTGTGAAAACAGCAGTTTAAAAGGACAAATTTGTCGTTTTACGATATTTCTCAGGAATTTTACCTGTAAGCTTCAAATTCTTCGAACTAGATCCAATTGGTGTCAAGGATTTACGCGATCGCTTGCTTGATCATTTGTTTGACTGGAATACAAATTTCTCTTCTTGTGTCCTTAATTACAACCGACTACAACAGGACATAAGCGTCAGATTTTGAACGGTGTTACTGGACGTCCTCATTTCAAACACGCGTCTGTTTTACTTTCTATAATTATTTTTTTATGATAATAGCGAGAGTGACAATGGAAGGCACTTGAATCTCAGTGTTACTCTCTCCACTCAGGAGTAAAAGTGGGTGCTGGTGAACCTTAGGGGGGAGGGGGGGAAGGAAGGAAGGAGGGAAACCAACAAATTGAAGGAGGGTTAAGCTGCAATGGACCAGGCCCAGTAGAATTACTTCTTGTTACTTTATACGTACAACAGAAAAGCGGACATTTTTCTGGTTGTGAGCGAGTCGCTTTTTATGCACCCTGTACCTTTATTTGTTCTAAAATGTTAAGCAATGGCGGTTCACAAAAGTCGACTGTCCTACAGGGAAGTCGTTGCAAAAATTAACTTTCGCGCCACGAACAACCTTGCGCAGATCTTCCCTTCTGAAGTTTACTTTAACTCGACCACGAAATTTAATTCAGAAAAACTAAAGCTTTTTCTTTCGCCATATTTTCTTCCGCAGAATTACACAGCTTAAAAATTGCCTTAATGCACCAATCATTCCTGTACCTTTTATTTGCATGTTATTTAATGCGCAGGCTTGACGAAACACGTCCGCTGGCCAAATGGAACGGAGACTCTTGATGAAGCGAAGTAGTCTACCATGTTACACATAAGTCATGCAGTTGTAATTGTCTCGACGTTGTACCTTGTCACGTACACGACCGTTAGTACTGGGTCGGTAGATGTCTTTTTCCAGTGTGTCACCTTTTTCAAACTCTGATTCTTGTTCGCCAGCACAGCAGCAGCATCTGCGCTTCCCCCATCGCCGTTCAGCGGGTGCACGCTTCTCGATAAATGCGGCTGCGGCGTTGAGCACGCTAGAAAACACGCATAGGCCGATCGTGGTCCAGGCGATGTGAAACGCGAGGTTTAGAGACCTAATAACTATGACTTTTGGTTTTCCGGTGCCCTTTTTGGAGGTTTCGTATCCTGCTATGTAATCACCGTACCCGATGGTAGTAAAAGTGACGACCCAAAAGTAACATGCTTCCAGATATGACCAGTCATCAAAATTCGATTGCATTGCGGCTCCTGAAAGTAGCATTATTACCATAAGCAAGAATGTGGCGATTGCACACTTTACTTCAACGTGATTCGGTTCTCGTCTGCAGCATTTGGTTTCAACAGATGCGATGGCAGAACTGATCCCGATCCTGATAAGCTCACCAACAGATTTAAATGCCAGGATTGTAACAGGAATGCCCAGAACTGCAAATACTATGCACAATGCCTGGCCAAGTCTGGTGGAAGGAGAAATGGCGCCATAACCTAAAAGGTTACACAAAAAAATCAGTGACGCTTCTATCTTTCTTTCCTTGCTACCCTCCATCTATTTAACGCTCGTTCCCCTGTCATCCGCCGTTTCTGAGTTCCTCCATCCCTTCCGTTGCGCCTCTCCCCACTCTGCCTCTTCATCCTTCCCTCTCTTCTTCTCCCTGAACCTCTTCCTACCTCTCTCTTCGCATCCCTGTTGCTCCCTCCTTCCTCCCTTACGACGCTCCTTACTCCCACACTGTCTCGACCCCTCCCTCCCTTACTCCCACACTGTTTCGACCCCTCCTTCCCTTACTCCCACACTGTCTCGACCCCTCCCTTACGACGCTCCTTACTCCCACACTGTCTCGACCCCTCCCTCCCTTACTCCCACACTGTCTCGACCCCTCCCTTCGCTTCAACGCCTTATCGATTTTAATCGCTCTGCTGAGAGAAAGTAGTTCCTTTCTTACGCCTTCCCATAATTTTTTTAAAAAAACCTTTCATTAAACATGTTTCATTTTTTTTTCTTTTCATCGACCTTTCCTCCGTTTTTCTTTCGTTCCCCTTTATAATTTAAAACAAGAGAATATAGACCACTTTCATAAATGGCTGCCGGATTAATATTCTTTTGTTTAAATTTAAATTAGCCCTTCTGACCTCGCTTGAGATAATGTATTCTTTTGAATTTTGTACTGGAGAACGAGGCCAGAAGGGCTAATTTCAAGTTAAACAAAAGAATATTAATCCGGCAGCCATTTATGAAAGTGGTCTATTCTCTTGGTAAAAAGCACAAACAAGCCGAACATGGACACATTAGTCGTGCTTACCTATAGTGGTTAGTGTCTCAAAGGTGTACTGCAGCCCGTCAAAATAGTTCCACGCGGGCCCATCCAGACTAAGAGCCTCACTGGATAAATTAACAAACCTTTCAAATTCTTCTTGAGTTATGTTATACTCGGTTTCCATTTCATTTTGAAGACTTGCGAGTTTTTCATCTTTGGATTTCAATCTGCTCTTAGCGCTGGGACGCTCCACCTCGGCAAACACAAGTGCTCCAAGGGCTGCTAGCAGAAAAAAGGCGAGAACACGAAACGATGTTGTTCTCAACAACTGGCGAGTAGCTTTTGAACATCTGGACATAGTGGAATACCTGAAAATAAAACGATATAATGAATAACTAAAACCCCAGGGCTAGTGAGAAGGGGCTTTCGAGGGGCTGATGACTTTCCTTACCCAAAAAAGCCAACCTCGTTCCCAGGGCCTTTTCCCTAAAAGGATGAAGAGACAAAGCAACCTCATATGACGCCCATCCCCCAAACTACTGTTCGCCTCTCGTTCCCAGCTCTCTTCGTGTATCTCCGAATTTTCAGTTTCGATCTATAGCTTGCTTGGCAGGAGAGAAAAACCAAGATATCAAATGATATCAGTGGTTCGAGTCCCGTACAGGCCTGAAATTTTTTTCAGGTCTGATTTTCACTATTGCTCAAATAGTGCTTTACTGCGAAGGATCGTTCTCATATACGTCTCATAACCGCAGTTCACACATATGTTTCATATGTTTGTTGTTGTTTGATATCAAATGGTTGTTGTCGCACCCGAAATTACAAGGAAGATGAACTCAACTTCTCCAACTTTCAGGTCGACATTAGCTCCTACTGAACTGAAATAAAAATCCTAAGTTTTATGGTGAACCAAGACCAATGTAAGCGGGTAAAAGGCTGTTAGTTTGCTGCTTCGGATGTTTCGCACGGACAGTGACGAAAAAAGATATCTGTACATGTTGCACTTCTTTGCAAATTTGGTAAATTTTAAAAGATTAAGCCCGCTTCTTTGACCGGGTTATGGCATAGTATTTTAAGAACTTATACACATAAGAGAGTCGATATCATTTTGATCGCCTTACTCAGAGGTTGGTGAGCAAACACCTCAAAGTTGTCCGACAGATGAGAACTGCTGTTAATATAACGATCTGGTCCTGCATACTCGAGCAAATATATTTCTAAATACCTAACAAATCGTCTTTACAAAGCTCAGCATCATTTTTTAAAAAATTTCATTGCTATGAACCTACCTCAATGAATTCCCACGACTAAAACAATTCAAACTACCATACCGAGCAGGATGGTCGAGTTTCAAGAAATCCTCGCGGCAAAATACGGTCCCTACGAAGTTTAGACGTCTTTCGCGTGTTTTATCGCTCCTAATCACTCCTCAGATCTTGAGCAGGTGAACCGATTGTCTTTGTTTTGAAATCTTGTATGCAAATGACTTTATTTACTACCATTTCATTAGGGGCAGATGTTCTCCAACACAAACTCTGTGTCTCAGTCGGTAGGGACCTTAAGAAACCACGACGGCGACGACAAAGAGGAAGTGGAAAAACAAGAGATCTAATTGCCAGAACAATAGCTCAGCACGTGCGTTTTGAAACTTTGTACATTTCTTAGCCGTCCTATGCAAAACAACAACTTTAAATCGCCAAAAGTTGCGTCGTCTGCGAACCGAAACCGCGACGGCAAATTATTTTAATTTCCATTTGGAACTCAACGGCTACTTTATACGTCATGCTGAAGTTGAGCTGTGGCGCTGTATGAGACAGTAAGCTCCTGCAGCCATTTTTTAAATTCTAACTAAGAGTAGAAATTCATTTTTTATTCGAAGTCTTCCTTGGCGTCGCCGTCGTAGTTTCTTAAGGTCCCTGGTGGCGCATCAAGACCGCGAAATTGAATGATCCGCGGTGTGGTACAACCCTGAGGGAGTCTAAAAAATGGTCTTTGTCCACAGACTAGGACAAATGATGAAATAGTAACCTTTCTTCATTCAAAATTCGAGCTTGTAATTTCTTAGCCCTCGTTTAACCATCTTTTTTTACTTCTATATGGTAGCGAGCAACTCCAATAAAACCATTTGCACATGGACATATGACCAGGATATCAATTTTATTTTTTTAATTGTTTTATATAAAATCGAAAAATAGTTCCGCGATCCTTGACTCGATCGTTTGTAAACTCTTTCTCAAAGGTCTGCGGCATAATATTTGTCTTTTAGGTGAGAATAATTAAAATTTTCAAAAACTACTTTCTTTTTAAATTACTTCAAAAAAAGATACTAAAAGAATTAAATTTTCCTCCTTTAGGTCATCGAGTGTTACTACCCAGGAAAATATTCTTGTTTTAATTGAAAGTGTGTTCTCATTTTAACCGTTAGATGAATCGTACAAACCTTACTCATTTCAGTTTACAATTTTAAGTAAAAGGCAGACGTTTTGCAAATACACTCGATCGAAAAAAGAGTATTTTTGAAAGAGCAAAACGCGCTGTTTATCAGATCTTGGCAACTGATTAACACCTCAGTGTAAGGCAGAGTGGAAAAGGCCTTTGTCACTAGGTTTTCATGTCAGTAAACTTAAAATTTTGTAGTTTGTATCATCACTAATCTACATGATGGAGATCAAAGTGATCGATTACAGCTTTTTAAAAAATTCATTCGTTTAATGATAGCCAATCAGGGACCAGCAAGGCTCAGTTACGAAAACACGCCAACATTTAGTAGCGAGTCGTTTTTGAAAACCCAATGGACAATTTATCAGACATAGAGTTGTAAAAGAGTCGTCGTAAAGGTAGTTTTTGGAAAACTTGGTTGATTTTTAAAACTTGCGCAGTTTAAACAATGCACTTTTCAAGGGATAAAGGTACTGTTACCTTCGCCAGAATTAAAATTTTAATCGAAAACGTTTCGACCCTTTGAAAAATATGGCACGCATTTGAGTTTGATATTCTACAGCTAGTTAAATTTTCCTAGATCGATGACAATCGATACATTTATCGTCAAATCCTTGACCTAATGTTTTTGCCTTTGTTTTGTATTTTTACCATCTGTCGTTGACACAATATTAGAGTGCTATTTTAATGCATGCGCAGTGTCGATTGAATCTTTTACTGTGATGGGAAATAATGTTACCTTTGTCGACAGTCGAGAGGTTTTTTGAAACTTTTTGTCTCAAGATAATCCAGCCGAAATTTGGTTCTAGGACTGTTTTTTTTTAATAACTAGCGTGCGCGCTTGAGTTATTCATTTACCGTACAGACAATTCAAGCTGTTACAACAAACATTGTTTTAATCCCCGCAAATCTAGAATTCAAGTAAAATTTCATATTTCACCCTCTGAAAATGAAATGTTTTTCCAATCTTTGTCCGCCAATTTTTTAATCGTGGCTGAGCCGGAAAACTGCATGAGAGTTTATTTTAGCAAAAATTGTTGCAGTAACGTATGTTACGAACTAATTTTGTATTCGCCATGCGGTAAAAATTGTACAACTCGAGATGGATGTACAATGGCCAGTTAAAAACTTAGATTTTGAAACAAAAACAGCAACATTTTAGGTTGGAACACCCCTACATCGATATTGCGTGCTAGGAAACAAAGGCCAATGTTTAAAAGAACACGAATTCTGAAACGACCTCAAAGAAACAAGCATTGTTCGAGAAATACGAAAGGGTACACTTACCTCATTCAAATACAACAAACAACAACAACACTGTATTGACACAACCACTGCCGGCGTTCTGAATAAAATTTTTACGCTGGATACGGGCAGAGTCGATAGATAGACGACCCGTTATTCTGTCAGCGCGCAGTCCAAACTCTGATGTCAGGTGATATCTTTGGATTGAGTGTTTTAGACAGAGCTAACAGCCTGGGTTGTCTTAAGACGAATTAGTGGTTAAATAAATGACAGGATCAAAGATGGCTCGACGACTACAGCCGTAACTAAGCGACTAATCCAATATTTGAGGTTATTAAAACTCAGCTCGATGACACGTAAGACATACGACAGGACGTGAGCAAGATATAGGGGGAAAGAACGCAGCCTATCTAAAAACAAGACTACAATGATTGGTAAAAGTCTTCTGCTACTTTTGATTTTTTTTTTTTTTTTTTTTTTCAATTTCACCAGTATCTCCGTCTTTGCCCCATTTTAATGTTTCCTGGTGTTAAAAAAAAATTATCACTTATTTCTTACGACACTTTCTGGGAAAAAGGGCGGACTTTCAATATTAAAACTTATCAAAGCTAAAATACAAAATTTCCGGTTACTATTTTGAATGGAGGGTTATCCCCTAATGGTCAATAATGCAATCATGATGCACAAATGTCTCAAAGGACGGTCACCTAGTTATCTGTCAAATAAATTTTCAACTAGAGCTACTATTCACGATAGAAAGACGAGATATAGCGATAGTTTAAATATTCCATCTAGTAGAATCAATGCTGGCATACGCGCCTTTTATTAACGTGGCGTAAAAGTATGGAATAATTTAAGTAAATTTAAGTAAAGATTTAAGGGGAATCACAAGTACTAAGGTCTTTTAGAGACGTTTAATTAAAGAACTGATTTGTAACATGAACGATCTTTGATGATAATTGTTGTTTGCATATAGTAATTAAGTAATATATAAGTAATACGAAAGTATAAGTATAAGTTATTTATTTAGTTTTACTATTGATGCTGAAAAGCCCTTTTCAGGGATGCTCAATAAAGTGTATGTATGTATGTATGTATGTTTGTTTGTATGTATGTATGTATGTATGATTGTATGATTGTATGTATGTATGTATGTATGTATGTAAAGGTCAAGGCCAAGTTCATTGTTTTGGCACTCACTCACTCATTGTAATCGTATTAAAAGTTCCCATCAGTGAGCTAATGATTTCACTCCCACTTATGATTGCACGCAGCTACATATCTGTTGCCACCATGATAACAATGTCGCAAAGGTTTAATCCTAAGGCTTTTATCTTCTGTTTGCTAAATGAAAATGAGTCTTCAAAACGCTAAAAGTCGTTTAAAAGATAAAAACTAAAAGAAACGATCATGGTTGATCATTGTTTGTTTCTCTGTGTGACTATTTTCTTGTTTGTTCGTCTGTGGTGGCCTGGAGAGGGTGGGTCTTGTAGCCAGGGAACTTGTTGTTAAACTTGAAAACGAGGTAATGACATCTACCTCAAACTTTGGTAACCAGCCTCTAAGCGGTTGTGTCACTGAGTCGTGCCACCCCGACCCCGTTGATCAAACACTTTGGGAAGTGTTTAGAGGTTGTTTTCCAGAGGAAGGCAAGTTGTTGTTAAATCAAATGATCTTAGACTTTCTAGAGCTGTAGTTCTGACCGTGACGAGGTTTAGTCTAAACTTTCTCTTGCAATCAGAAAAAAAAGTAAACTATCGCGCCTGATTCCGCGAGCTGTAAGTTTAAGAGAAGGATCCTTCGCGATTGTGGCTGAAACCGGTTATTCAAACATTTCCCCACGGATTTTATCATTTGATCCCTTTCATTATAACCAATTGCAAGTTACTGGCGAAAATACAATACATATAATCCGAACTTCGAGTATTTCCGCAGAGCTTCATTATGATATCATACAAATGTTAGTCGAGTCAAATCGAATTAAGTCATTAATCACTTGACCTGCAATAGTAGCGGAAACAATCACCATCCTCATAATATGTTAATCTAATTTTAAAATACGATTTCTTCGAGAAGATGCCGGTAAATAATATGTATTTGTACTATTATTTAGCAAAGAAAGCACTAACTAGTTGCAAGCTAAGTTTAACAACGTTTCGTCATGTTTTATTTATGTCTCTGATCGCCCAGTTGTCACGCGCAAAAAAGGAGGGCTGCATTGACATAAAGAAAGTGATGTCACCTATAAAGGACGGGGGAGGGGAGGGAGAGGGGCGGGATGAAACAAAAGAAACATAAGGGAAAGGAGAAACTATAAAACATTTTGTTTCAGTTTTTTTAGTTTGTTTGTTTGTTTTTGTTGTTGTTGTCGTTGTTTGTATTTTTTTTTCAGGAAATCCTCTTACTAGTAGAGGAAAATGAACCTTTTAATTGAGAACAAGGCTAATAGATTTTCTTCAGGCGAAATAACATATCTTGATATTCACTTTAAAACACAATGGAATGAACCAGTAACTGGACATAAACTGAAAATCGACACATTTTTGTAAATGCCAATTGAATAGAATGTGGCTTTTTACAACTATCATGAAAATAGCAACGTTTTCTAAACTACATGATAATTGCTGATTTGCTGGAACAGATGGTCCAGTATTTGAGGGACCGTAATTAAAATTGTGATATTTGGTTGTAAACCTTACCGAAACAAAGGTTTTACTGACATCCTCTGAAGCTGCACAAATCAAATTTGCGCTCGATGATTTTATATTCTCATATCCCAAGCAGGTTGGCTTTTTCTCTAAAAAACGAAACAGTGGTGACGTTAAGGAAGTTGAAAGGTATAACTGGTATTTTTCAAATCATATTTTCAAAGGAAACGTTTTAAATACAATGCGTGGTTACTTTCATCAGAAAAGTAAGTGAAATTAAAAATAAATTTGCTAAGAAAATTTGCGTTTGACGTGCAAATATGGTTTCCAATTGTCATAGTCTAAACTACTAATGGACAGTTATAGACCGCTGTTTATTCAGGTGAAAAAAATCATTCTGTCGTGTAAATAAAATGTCTCTAATTTCCCTTCGCAGGTTTCTATCATTTGCATGAATATTTGGCGATTTTGGCGGCGAAACATGAATCATATGGCCTGCATAGCCGTACTCATGTGCACGACAATAAGTCACTTATCCACCACTGTGTCATCCCAAACTGATATGCACGTTCGGCATTATCCGCCCGGTTGGTTTGAAGCGCCCAGCTCCTTTGAAGATTTCCCAGTTGCGCAGATAGCCAGTGAAACCGTGACTGTTATAAACCCATGGTTATACCTGCAAAGAATGGGGATTTTCAGATTGATGGTGCAGTATACCCAAGGGTACTTCAATTCCTGGGGGTATAACAACACAGGGAATCTTCTTTGGGGACTTCCGCTCCAGTTCGGTTGGCAAATGTCCTCTGGACGTCTTAGCGATATGGCAGTTGGTCAGGGTCGTTGTGCTGAGTCACTCTGTGTGTCCCCAAACAGCTGGTGGGCCGATATGAATTACTACCTCTCCGTTCTACCGTTTCTGGGCGCCTTGAAAGCTGGGCTGTTTCCTCTCTTAAAACATCCTGTTTATATTTCTAAGCCAGCTAATGTGAGCGACGTGGTCAAAGATAAGTTCTGTACAAGTATTGAAGAATGGACAGAAAAACACCCTGAGGTTATAAACGATTGGGCTGACTTCTTTGCCCAAGTTAAAGGTGGTTCCGACGATGGTAACCATGACGTAACGATCGCCCTCATGTGGAAAGCGCATACTACATCGATATTGACAGGTAAAACTCAGTCTGTCGAATAAGACAAAAATCTTGGTATTCATTTTAAAATTTATTCAATTTACAATCCAGACGTACTTTCCACCTTTTTTTTTAAATTTGGTTATTCATTTTTTTGGACAAGCCTAATTTCCTTTTACTACACGGAAATTTTCACTTGAGCATCAAAATTGAATTGGTTTGCTTTACTTCAGTCTGTGATTAGTCCATAAAACTCGCACCATTCTCTCAGCCAGTCACAGACAAATTTGAAACCAATCGCAATTTGCTCAATCACGTTTTTCTACGCTTCAAGCCTCGTTTCGGCTCTGAGCCCTCATTGGCCCCTTCTGATGGTTTTCTGTTGTAATAATCCGTTATAAAAAAAAAACTTTCTGAGTACGCATTCTTCCCATTTAGCACAACCACTCTTCACTGAAGAGGTCAGTCTTATGTCTTTACCTGAGAGAAAATTTGGTGTGGGCTGGGCCCTACTTGTGGAGTTCATCGCAACGACTTACTTCCAAACAAACCTCAATAATACCGCTGACCAACAGACTGCCCTGCCGCCACGAATCTTGAGGGGCAGCGACAAAGTTCCTTTCATCCCAGATTTTACCGCGGCACAAAATCGTGTCCTTTTGGCTATCAATCTTTTCCACAGTACCAATGTTGACACCAAAGGGCTATTACTGAAGGTCTGGCGAAGGGCCATGTGCTCTCCCAAGGGGCGCGCTGTAGGAAGGAGCCTTCTGGAGAGCATTAAAGATGACCCTTGGATCATTACTCGAAAGTTATTCAAGCTTCTTTGGGGCTTGTTTATCTACCCTTGTAAGGGTTAGGTCACTAAATAATAATGAATAACAGAATTTTCATGTTTTCTTTTTTATCTCCTTTTCTCACTTTATTCTTTGGGTTAAGGGTTGATCTCATTTCGGTAACGTAATTGTCACGCAAACTCGCAACATTTTGTTGAGTGGTCACGCAACACTTTTATCCAAATCACTAACGACGTTTGAATTTGACACAACACATGTGACAAGCTCTACTGGGTGTCGAGCTCTGACGTCGGCTGCAGATGAAAAACTGTGAGAAAAATCGATCATTAATTTTCGCTAAAATTACGATAAAAGACCTCGTTACTGAACGCATACACTCATTTTTTTTATTTTAAAGTGATGGCCAGCAAAGCCTTATTCTACTTTTAGTGTCTAATACAGGTCTCCGAAAAGTCACACATTAAAGAAAGAAATACAATCATCTCAGGTCAGTCATTTGTAGGCCCAGCTGTAGAAGCCTTCCGGACAGACATAATTTCTGTGTGATTTTTAGTCTCGCGAGGCGAGCGCGAAAACTGATTTACACCCGAGAGGAGGGGGCGACGCTTTGTTCTGAACTGACCGCACCGGCTCAGCACCTATATTTGCCAACATACGCTCCATAAAAAAGGTATGCAAATATATTTCGTTCCATGGAACTTCTTCATCTCTTTTCACAAGGCAGTATGTTACACGTGTTTTCAGTTTCCTGTAACCCCTTCTATGATAGCAAACGTGTGTAGCCCTACCCTTCCTGCTAGGAGAAACGTTTCCCTAGGGGGTAGGGGGAACCGGAGGGTACGTAAACTACTTTTATGAAAACTGCTCCCCCCCTCCCCCCATATCCATACTTTAAATCATATCGAGCAACTGAAACCTTTCATTTTTATCTAGTAATGGAGAATTTTTTGCGGGACATGGCGCCTACTCGAGAATTTCTAGACTCTCTCATCAAACGTTTCCCAGGTAACTCGTTCATCTTTCGTGAAGACGAGCCATAAGCAGGCCTGCGGTCAGCTACGGTGACCGCTGGCTTATTGTCAACCAGAACATACTGACTAAATATGGCGTGTAGATCTGGTGTAAGTGTGCGCGCTACCGAAGGAATGGTACTCTCTCTGCTGCTGTTAGACGTTGAAGATGCGCTTTTAACACGTGTAATCTCCAATTCGTTATTACGTTTAAGATCTTTGTGAACAACCGACCACCTATCCACAAGGCCAATTTTTCGAGTCACCGCGGGCTCACTATGGGTCGTTAGTCGTGAAAATGTCCGCGAATTGCATGGTGTAATCACAATTTTGTTCCCGCGACCGAGTTCTAGCGACGTCTGCGGCCGGGGTCGATGAGCAATCAACTGCACGGACTTCTCAAATTTCTCTTTTTCCAAGTTTCGCCTGACCTTTTTGGCCCATTCTTTACCATTTAAGAAAAACTCCGTGTCCCGCACATCAACCGACGCATTCGCTTCCGTTTTCAGGATCCACGCGCATTCCCAGTTAGCCATCTTGGCCGCTAACAAATATGCAGAAAAGCCTTTCTTGTTTCTCAAATCCACACTAAGTCTGTATTTTAACAAAATATTTAACACTTCACGCAATGTGGGCACACTGCCCGACATAGCCGCGTACATCAGGGGGGTGTTGCCATCTTTATCAGCCAAATTAATATCGCAGTCGTCTTCTATGAGAAGTTTAACAAGCTTAGAATGTCCATGTTGGCAGGCATACGACAAGGCAGTCCTTCCTTGGTTATCAACGGCTTCCACCCGTGCCCCTCGGCCCAGTAGAAGACGAGCAATTCGAGTCGCTAAGGAATCCTTTGGACCACACGCGGCAATCATAAGAGGCGACCGACCCTCGTTGTCAACTATGGTTGATTTAACGCCGATATCCAAAAGCAAACGAATCTGATGAAGTCTTCCAGAACACACAGCTTGGTTCAGACAAGAGGACGACATCTCTCTCTTCCACGGTGCTAAACAAAAAGGTGCAAATCAAATGTCCTTTCGGATCTCAAGCTGACGAAGCAATATTCCTCAGCTGACAAACCGTTTCCTGAGACCTCCTCCTGATTACTTAACTAATATCCAAATTCGTCTGAAAATATTAATGACTCCACTCGAAATCGTAGATTTTGGATGAAGCTATCGATCGAAGAGGTAAACAAGTAAGATCTTTGTTTAATATGGCAACAGAGAGGTATCTTGTTCACCCCATTCACAAGTCCCCCGGGAACTGTACTCTCTCAATAATCGCTTTCTAATGACCTGTCGGCGAGATATAATAATAGACTATCAGTTGAAAGCGCTGGATTAAGAGAGTTATGAACTTAGACACGTCCGCACGACACACATCACTGGTATTCAATAAAGCAATAATATCCTAAGGCTCAATTTTCACACATCAATACGTGATCAATATTAGCCTTAAGCTAAAATTGCATCTTTTTATAACCATGAAGTTGTAAACATTGTCACAATATTTCTGACGTAAACGGGATAGGAATGTTTGAATGTTGATGACAGATGCAAAGTTGTTTAGGAGACTCCTGAACACTTATGTTTACTACACACAGGTCAATGTAGTTAAAAGTATCCGTAAACAACAAGAACACTTTCAAACCTCAAAGTAGCTTGCAGAACAGACGTTATTTTTTGCATTTTTGAGGCAAACGAAGGCAAGCGCGAAATGTGAGTTACGTTGAAGGGGGAGCTGAAAAAAAATTTAAAAAATTCAACCCTTGGTGCAATAATTATTTTGAAAACGAACTGTCCTTTGCAAAGAACGAGAGTACTCTCGTGTTTCTATGGTTACTGGCCGAGTCTATTAAACACTTCATTTCCAAAAATCTACAAAATTCTTCACTAGTCAGTCCATATTATAAATTTGTTACGGGTCTTACATGTAGATATACCCTGCGAGCAGAGGTTCCTTCGATCTTGCTAGAAAAGCCGGGAAGTGAAGACTCTCTTCCTTTTCTAAACGTTTCTAGAAAGATCGAAGGGGCCTCTGCTCTCAGGTAATGTAGATATCATCTTCCAGTTCACACGTCTTTTCCTGTGCCATTTTGATTTGCTAATGTACTGATATCAGTAAGAGAAGTTACATATTGATTAAATGTGGACGTCTGGGGTTGACTTCTTAGCACAAAGAAAGGAAAAATAAACAGAGTGGACAGGCGAGAGCGAAGGTCAAGAACGTTATTTGCGTACGTAAATGATGCCACTTCAGTCGAAGCTTTAAGTGAAGCATGTTAAATGCTGTATGCGCCAAGGTCGATTTCCAACGAAATGCCCCCGGCATCTTCGTAGCGTATCCAGGGGTTCTCTAACACTAGAAATTCTCGAAATATGAGCTGATAACCGGAGTCGAGTGAACCAATCAGAACAATGAAAAATTTTACCCTTAAACTAGTTATCCACCCTGACAACCCGAGTTTCTTTCACCTCGAATGTTATTGGATGAGGTCCACACAAAACAGAGGTAGGCAAATGTAAGGGAAAATAACACGCCACACGATACACAACAGTCGATATTTTCTGTTCAAGTTTTTTATTCAAAAGTACATTCAACGAAGAATACAATCTTTGGATTGGAATAACACTTTTAACTCCAAAGGATAAGCAAGACAAAATTTCTCCTTTCAATATCAAGCAGACAATTGATGAGGATAAAGAAAAAAAATCACTTAGGGTATTATTCATTGCTCCAATGCCGAATTCTGTAAAGTAACATCATAAGATTTGTATAGCACACAGTAAGGAGAACCAATGAGAACTTGGGAGTGAAAAGGATATGACGAGGAAAGACTGGAGAGGAATTAAAGTTTAATGAGAATTTCAGCGCTCGCGAAGAACGCAAAATAGCTCTTTGTTCACCATACCCGTGATGAGATGCTACCATCATTGCCCTGTCAAGGGACATTGGAAAGGAGTCTGAAATAAGCTCTCAAATAACGAAACACCATAACGTGATCTAGTCCCTAACTAGCCGCTGTCATCTACAAGATCGCGACGTGAACCCGACTGCGATTTATTTAGTACGACCTTTGTTTTCTTTGTGTATAAAGCAAAACTTGTTACGAGTGGGTTGATGTTTTCAGTGGTCAAACAAATTTCTATCTCCTAAAATAGAAGAAAGAACAAGAAATTGGCCACAAAAAGCAAATGTGAGTTGTATTCATACAGGTTGTTGGATCTGATCTCAATTGCCGATCTGATTATTTTGGGCACAATTCGTTCATTATTTGTTATCCTTTTTTGATCTATCATGAAGTAAGATCCGTAATAAATGCTTTTAGCGACGATTTACAGCCTTTAGAACATAGCTAGCAGAACCGCGCAATGAAATTCAATATTTGTAAGCGTGCTCAAAATCCCGATAGTGCACGCTGACAGCGTCAGCAAATCGCTTCGCCAGAAATTTTTTTTTCGCGCGAGCGGCCGATTGTTAGCGCGGGAAAAATAATATATTTCGCGACAATAATGGATACAAACAGAAACTCGGCCTACTAGTCCGAAAACGAAGACAATGTTTCGACCTTTTCCCTTGGGCTAGAGTTCTTAAATGAGGCAGAAAAAGAGAAAAACAAAGGAAAAGGAGACTCGGCATCAGCGCCGTCACGATTCGCTTCAACTGATATTGTTGTCCATTTTTCCCGTCGGATTTGATGCACAATTCTACCGGCTATGTTCTAAAACAATTGGTTCATGCTTTCAGCTGTGCACTATCGAGAAGCTAGAAGCTAGTGCACTCAAGAAGCTAGAGTTGCCCTCGGCTATCGCCTCGGGCAACTCTTACGCTTCTTTCGTGCTCTCCAAACTTCCCGCGCGCTCCATAACTCGATAGTGCACGCTAAAGCATGAACCAATTGTTAATTTAAACTGCATACTTACCTAGTTAGTGGAGCAAGCGTCCTTTTTCTCTTTGCATTTTCTGGACATGCCTTTGGCTCAATGCGGGCGCAAGCAGAACGAATAGGTTATGTCACGCACAAGACGAGCTGTTTTTTTTTTTTTGCGCTCCTTCTCTTGCGCGTGGCTCTTCCCACACACGTTCCTCGCGCTTGCCCGCTCTGATAAATGCAAAATAAGCGATGCCTCGTTCGCAAGCTAATACTTACCATGCATAACTTCCGACGAGTCTCCTTGGATTTCCAGGGAACTTCATCAGCGATCATAGACGCAACTTTTATTGCCACAGAAATCAATCATTTGAAAGCAACAGCTATCTGTCTAAAGTGGCCTGAACTAGCATCTCTTTGATGGAGACGAGTGAAAAAAAGTGCACGAGGAAAAACCGGAGGACTCTGTCGCTCTTTGTTGCTTACCTGGTTGTTTCCTCCCTGTTCCCGTGCCTTTTCGCTCGTTCCTACGAAAAGAAAGCCTAGAAAGGGCAATAGTCAGAGAGGGATAATGTTAATGCGTATGTGGAGGGGCAGGCGATGGGGCGTTGGGTGGTATAACAAGCATTCTTAAGCTCTGTAGAGAATAAGAACGGATTTCGCGACGTTCCTCGACCCTCCTTATTACCCAGCCCTAGTAGATTAGATTTCATTCCACCCAGAAAGACGAGCAAAATATTTTCCGCACGGAATCCTACACTAGCGACCCATTGTAGTTAGCAGGCATGTGGCGATGTCTTTTGATTCAACCGACAAATTCTTGTGGTTATGCTGCAGATGCTGCAGTTAAATTTGATGGGGGGGGGGGAGCTTTCTCGCATTATAACTGGGATGAGAGGAGTGAGGACAAAAGTGTGATCCAATACCCTAGCGGAAAACGAGGTGTACCTTTTAATTAATTAAAGAACAAAACAACAAAGAAAAGGTCTATAAGTTGGTAAGGCTTCGAAGGCCTTGGAGGAGGGCATTCTCTTATTCTCCTTTACAAAGTGCATGCCGCGATGCAGGGTATAGTTTTGGGGGTCTTGAGTTTTACAACGGGATATCCAATTCTTATTTTAATAACATACATAAAAAAATTTCTTCCTTCTGAAATGCAGTCTTCAGGTAACACTATGCAGATGACAGGTAATTTAGGGTCTTGTGCAATGTTGTTAGTCTTCCATGAAATTACTCGTGCTTATTCATTTTATATTGCCCTCCAAATCAAGTGGTTACCTGTACCAAAAGTCTTTGAACAATCTTTGAACGGGGGCGGGGGGACTTGGTGTTGCGCCGTCTGCATGTAAGGTACTAACAATTTTTTTTTCAATCTAATACTAAAAATACTGTATCGATACGCAAGAAGAGACTTCTAAGGGTGAAATGCTGCAACTTGTACATGATTAGTCGATTTTACGAGGTAAAAAAATAAAAGAACGTTTAACTACAAAGTTACACAAGGTCCGGGTTTCAAGGCGTCCGAGGCACGCCATCTAAACTGCGTTGGGTGCTTTCCCCGGGAGGGTTAAAAGTGGCCTTCCGATAAATTGACACTTTTTCGTTACAAACGGTGTAGAACATACATTAAAATATTCCCCCTCAGCCACGCCTTGCTTTGACTTCGATAGGTGCTCAACAGATGACACACAATTGGTTAATACGACATCAACCATGGCTTGCGACTCATGGGTAAACGCAAGCGTACAGTTCAAGGTACAAGTAGACGTTTTAAAAATAACTTCAAATGGATAATTTTTCAGATGACATTCTCTAAAGGACATGTAACTGTTGTTACTTCATGCTCAGAGGGAATCTTGCATAACCTTCAGGACGTACCCGGCTAACATGCCACCCCAACATAAAAACTCATAAAGCTAAGAATAATAGCGATGGCATAAATCAATAACAATGAGCTCATGAATAATAAATAATAATAATTGTAGCTTGCTTTTGTCGACACTCACATGTCATGCTCCATTTCATGTTCTAATGTGGTTCAACTGGACCCCAAAATAACTAGAGAAAACTTGGTATCTCTGTACATACAAAGATGAAGTAACCTTTTAAAGGCATTCTCTTTCGTCACATGAGGAATGCCATAGCCGGGAATCCATCTGCTCCCTTACGATTACCTTTCTCACAAACACAGGTCGACTGCCTACATTACTTTCTCCACATTTGTAGCTTTGAAGGAGAAGTCAACTCTAAGTTTACGTATGACAATGATCGCGTTTTCAGTGAGATTTCAAAGAGTAAGAAGGGTTTCAAAAAAATGTTTGCAAATATGCTATGTGAATCTTGCCTACCACTAATCACGCCACTTATATTCAACTTTTCCAAATGTATCTCTTCTTTTTCGCCTCTTGACAATTAAGAGCGACAATAATTCATTCTGCAACGAGATCCAGAGCGCATTTCGATCTCCATCTTTCTGGGTGCGTGCAATCAGGCCACTAAGCTGCTATCAAAATGGCCACGTCTATAGGTGGTTTGCAACCAATCTCTAGAGACACAGGTAACAATGGTGAAAGGAACAAATGCTGGTGGACGAACAAAAGGAGCTAATGAGATATCCATTGTTTACGTCACCAACATGGCGGCCATGACGTAACGTGCAAACCACCTATAGTCAGATTGTTAACACATTTGAAGACATGCGCAAACTGTTAGGTTAGTCTTTGAAATCTCTAACCCTTTAACTTCCAAGATCTGATCGTTAATTCTCCCAACTAGCAACTACACATTTACTTGTCAATTAGTTATGAGAATTTGTTGATAAGTTTGACTATTCTCATTACCTGTTTGCTGGATCATGTATCGATATTATAGGGAGAAGTTACATGTTAATCACTTCCGGGAATTTAAGAGTTAACTCTTGTCCTAGAACACAAATAAATGGCCTAGCCAAGACTCAAACCCAGATCTCTCATTCCAGAGTTCAGCGAGCATATATCCAGGCCTCTGCCCTCACAAAAGTTAACTTATTCTAATAACACTAAAAATTACATCAGGAACTATTATCTCGTCATTAGTTCAGAAGGTAGCAATGAATATGTTTAATTCTTGAATATTTTAGATACTTCACAATAACTTCAATAAGTTCATTACATTCTTGATGGAATGAATCAAATGTTCTTTCATAAGGACAGGCACATCTATGTATTCATGGTAAAATTGTATGCATGGTTCAGTTTTCTAATCATTTTCTTACGGTTTTGTTAAGTGAGGAGAAAATCAAACTATTTAGCTTAACATACGATAATTATATAATAACATACATCAAATTGTTTATACATGTAATATCAAGCCAAAGCTCATCAACAACATAAAATTATTTTCAACTGGGTGTAGAAAATAATCAAGGGTTGCTTTAGATTTGCTTAGGAATGCTCTGTAATTGGTTAATGAAAATCCTTCCACATTATGATTCAATCAACCTTTAGATTAAGTATGAGGGGTCAGTGGCTCATATTTATGAATATCTCTGACTTACTCAAATCCCTACCTATATGTTACATGTACTTCTTATTGATGACACATTTGATTGATTACAAGAACCAAGTATTAACAGTAACTAAAGTAGGTGCTTTAATTTAAGTGGCACTCCCATGTTAAAAAGCTAGGGGAAAACAATCAAAACTCGTTATCCTCATGACCTTTTTATGGCTTGTACCAAACAAATTCTTAAAGTCCCTATTCACCCCCAGAGGTTTATATATATTTCGATTCTTTGCGTTATCAGGATTAATCTCCAAAAAAAATTTTGCGATTGATTAAACATTTCCCGAGATATGCCGCCTCAAAGTTACTCTTTTGGCCACGCCCTTTTGACTTGGCTGGGAGAGAATTACTGGGCCGAGTCTCGGACCTACTACCCCTCCAACATTCAGTGACGTCACAGCAAGAACGAATGTTAACTTCTTGTATAAGAACATGTATTTATTGCTGTAAAATGGTGTGAAAATGTTGACTCGTTGCGTGGTCGCTGGCTGCTCAAATGCATTAGATTTGTCTAAAGACATATTCCTTCATAAAATAACGTGAATGTAGGCACATCGACCGAAAGACGTTCTGGCTATGACGTCATGAGGGACTTTTAGTTACCAGTATTAACTTTGCCCGGCCAAATCAAAAGGGCCTGGCCAAAGGACAAACTTTGAGGCAGCATATCTCGGGGAATATTTAATCAATTATAAAAAAATTTTTTTGAGATTAATCCTGATAACACAAAGAATGGAAATATATATAAACCTGTGGGGGTGAACAGGGAATTTAAATTTTCATGATCTAAAAAACTTCTTGGGCCATTTCCAAGATGCCCTTGGCCTTCGTTTCACAGAAAGAGTCAAGTTAAAGTTCTCGATAAGAGAAATGCACTTAATGCTAATAGAAAAAAACTTGATTTTCCATGAGAGGTTTTGTACCTGACCTGAATCAAAAATGAGGAGGTTTGGAGGTTGGAAATGGGTAATCAGTACATGTGAAGCTGTAATTGATTAACAGTACTTAGCATGTTCATGAACGACAGTATCATCATTATCATCAGCATTCAAATACACATCACCACATCACCCATGCTTGCCCTTCCAGGACATCAGTATCGCAGTCTTTTGTTGCTGTCATAGTAACTGGGAGGTCCCTGCAGAGCATACTGTCCTGTTTCTCCTTCAGCAGCTCTCTTTTGACTTAGCTGTGGGTGAGCACCCTTAAAAAACAAACAGAGTAATACCAATTACGACAAAAATTGAAGAGTTTTTAAAGAATTGTATTTATTTTGCTTTACTATCAAGAAACTTATTTACTTCACTTCCTTGGCCAATAAACTACAAAAGTAAAATGAAATGTTACATGGTCCCTCAAATTTTTCTGTGCCTCAAGCATCTTAAAGGCGTTCATGTAGTTGTGAGCAGTCCCCCATTATAAGCATTGCAGGACATGTGTTTCTCCACCCATGAGACAAGTTAAGATGTTTGCAAGGGATCTGGCATTATCAGCATTAGACCCCTGCTTAAGGCCTCATACTTCCTCCCCTCCAAGCTTTAACAATGAGGGCCTTCTTGCAGGCTAGCATTCATGTTGAGTTCTTGTTAACTCCCTAGGGCAAATTTCTTTGTTTTCACTGACTGTTGTGGCTACTTTCAAATAAGTTTTACAACAGTCACACAAAAAGTGCTCTTGTTCTCAAACACAGCAACAGACAAATAGCCACAATAAATCACAACATAAAAGAAAGGTCTCTGCAGACAGCTTACCAGTTGTGATGGCTGTTGACTGCTGTACACAACTGGAGGAGCTGAATGTTGTGGAGCTACACTTGCATTTGGGTAAACAGCCTGTTCAGTACTGTGAGCAGCCACTGATGGATAACCTAGCTGACCTGCTCCTGGCATGTCCATCTGCCCTGGGTACACTGCACCTGGTTGCTGTGGCTGAGGCTGTGGCTGGAGATGCTGCTGTTGTTGCTGTGGCTGAGGCTGCATCAGAGGCACAGGTTGCTGTTGCTGGGGCACCTGTTGCTGCTGAAGTTGTTGTAACTGACAAAAATTAAAAAAAATTGTGTTTTATGTGACTCTGAAGACAGCTTTGCAACAAACATCACATGTAGTAGCAGTTGATCATGCATTGTGCAATTGTCTAAGTAAGAGTACATAAAAGTAATGAAAAAAGGTTTATTTTGTCAGGGAGAGTGAACTATGTTTTGACAAAGTACATGTCGGCAGAAATCGTCATCAATCAGAATCAAGTGAGGAGTTATCACCTTCACATTAAGCCATAAATAACTCTTACTTGCCTAGAAAAGACTACAATCCCACTCAAGGTTACATACTACTCCACAAACAATATAAAGGCCACATTTTGACATAATACGTTCTAACATCAATCAATTTGCATAGCAGACCTGTGGTTGTTGGTAATACACCATAGCTTCTGAGCCTGGTGTCACTGTCTGTTGTGGTTGGTATTGCTGTGTTGGTTGGAACTGTCCATACATCCCACCACTTGGAACAGTCATTAAAGGTTGGGATGCCTGTTCAGCCTGAGGCCATTGGACACCACCCACAGATGTTGCTTAGAAAAGAAAAGTAACAGACAGTGTAATTTCACTGCTACCGTATGGAGTTATAAAATAATTATATCTTATTAACCAAGTGCAAGGGCCATACTGGGAGAATATCAGCCCGAGGTCTTGACAAGTACGGACTGAGCACAGCTCGGTCCATACAAAAAAGACGGAGGGCCGATGTTCTTCCAGTACGGTCCCAAGCAAGCTTGGTTAATAAGAGATTTATTATACGACTGAAGTTCAAAGGGACACAAGTGCCGTATCATCGGGGACCATTTGGGACAGTGCCCGGTCCAATACTGAGAGAATATTGACCGGCAATAGAGCATTTTGATTGGTTGATTTTAGTTATTGGCCCTCTGATTGCCGAGTCATGTAATAATATTTTGATAAAAAATGTTGCTGAGAACCTTTAGGATTTCTGTATTCTCACAGAAAACCAGTTGGGTAGAAATCCAGTGAGTAAAAATATCATCACCTTCTGGCTGCAAAGTATTGTTAACAATAACAGAAGGATAGATGTTTCAAAAATGAGCAAAGTTGCTGAACTCTTGTAGCAAGGTGGTTGTATTTTGAGACAGGCTTAAATGGCTGGGTTCCCTGTACTTAGTTGCCAAAGTAATGGAAAGAATCCTTTTCAACTGAATTTAAGTATAAAGTAGAGTTTTGGATATTGTTTGACAACAACAAACTTACTCTTTCTAAAAATATTTTACATGACTGGAGAAGGTAAATCACTAAAACAAAGTGGAGTACTGAGTACTGCCACAGTAACCATGTGGGCACGCATGATAGGTGTACCTTGTGAAGGTGTGGTTTGAGCTTGTGGAGCAGACGCTGCCACACTGCCCACTGCAGGAGGCATCTGTTGATACCACTGATATTGAGGTGTTGGAGGGGCTGCTGCAGGGATGGAGGAAGGCTGAGATGATGATGCCTGTTGCTGAATGATGGCAGCTGGTTGAACACTACCCATTGGTAGCTGAGCCATGGGTTGTTGTGCTGTCAGCCCTGGCAGAGATTGCGGCTGAAGTAAAACAGAAAAAGTCTTCATTCAAATTTAATGTCTAACACTGCACTGGAGGCAAGAGGCACATAATGCCAGAGCTTGGTTTGGTTTCAAAATTATGATGCTAATAAATTATTAACCACTCCCCCTTGATCAGGGATGTTAGTTTATTGCAACTCCCCCATCCCCTGAGATTCTGAACTAGATAGTGACAGGCACTAGGAAGGTAAAAAGTATTTCTCCCTGACTACACTCTGGTGCTTTAACCGACACTTTTCAGCTCAAATTCCTGAACTACAATCATTAGGTAACCACCTTTCCTAGCAAACTGAAAACATAAAGGAAATGAGAATTACCATAGCATAGGATTGGGTTTCCTGTGGTGCATAAAGGGCAGTTTGTTGTGTTGCATCTGCAGGAAGTACAACATATCCAGAATTTGCTGCTCCATTTGGGGCTGGGTCACCTTGAGCCTAAAAGGAAATTGTCAAAATATTTTTCAAGTGTCTCAAACAGAGATGTCCAGAAATTCATTTATAGTCCTTAAAGTACAAAATCAGGGCTTGAATGCAGAACATGAAAAAAATCAGCAGAAAGCCATGTTGTAGTGGATGCCATGTTGCTCAGTCTGATTAAAAGCAAGATGTGGAACTGTTCAGTTAAAACACCTGGGTGCAAATTCTTAGCATACACGTAGAATCAATTCACACATCTAAACTTGTTCCTGGCAAAATTAACACTTGGAAATGGCTGCTTGATGAATATACAATTTTCTAGCAATTATACCAACATCAGGTGAAAATATATAGAAACCTCAAGATGGCAGACTAGGCGGTGGCTATGCCTGGCTAATGGCTCCTATTAACCCTTTAACCCCTAGAAGTATTAACATGTAACTTCTCCCTACATTATCTGTACACTCCACAGTAAACAGATAAAGAGAATATTCAAACTTATCAGGTAGAAGTTGTTATCTTGTTATCTTGATCTTACACCAAATTCTTGTAACTAATTTACAAAGAATTGTACAGCAGCTAGAGGGGAGAATTAACAATCAGATCTTGGTATTTACAGGGTTATTTAACAGCTCTGAAAAGAAGCATATCAATCCCTTGAATATACACTTACAATCTGCTGGACCCCAGGGGTACTATAGTGCACTGTATTAGGATCACTTTGGCCTGGTACAACTGTCCCTGGAGGAACACTTTGATAAGTAGATACTGCCATCAGTGGGGCTGGATCAGGGTGTAATACCTGAGGTACCATAGTCTGCGCTGGTACAGCACTGGGTGCAGCATACATCACCGGCTGATTGCTTGCAACCTGCTGGGTGGGTACCATGATGGATTGCTGGGTAGCCTGCTGCATCAAGGCCACTTGTGACTGAGTTACTGGCAAGGTACCTGGGTATGCTGGAACTGGAGCACTTGAAACTGTTTGCAGTTGCATCTTTAAATGAAAATAGAAATGTGATAAACTGGTTAAAAAACTTTAATTCTTGTTTTGTTCACATTTTCCTTGTCTTTTTTTCTTACATTTTCTTTTCAACCTTGTGTCTAGTTTGTTACCTCTGGTATACATTTTATAATTCAGGGTTGCCAAAAGACCATTATGGAAACAGGTTGAGCTTAAATCCTTGAGTAGGCCATAGTCTTTCACAAGAGGAGAAAGTGAAAGAGTCCAGTGTCATATCCCACATTTCTTAAACAAGATTCACCCTCCCTAACCTTATCTTTCCCTTAAAAAAATCTGAATGTAAATAAAAAACGAAAAAGGCAAATAAAGGACTTATAGTATAGCAAAAAGATTTTGTTTTAATAAGGATAAAGAATGACCTGCTTTTGGAGTCCAGAAAGAAAGCTACTGTTTGTAGCATAATAAACCAAGAGAGTATTTTAATTTTTTTTTTTTTATTTTTGACTTTCTTCTGCAGCTTAA